ATTCCATGAATTTTTGATTGATAACAATTGTCGGAAACTTCAGTCCACAAGGTCCATTACGAGAATCTATCCAAATAATATCAGATGAATAATGATTCCTTCTTATTCCCACTACAGATGTTGATCGAAGGTATATCCAATATTATGCAGCCGCGCAGTACGTTTACAATCTCCAGGTGAGCATTTTCCATTATCCATTTTTCGAGCAATTTCCTTTGCAAGTAAGAAATTGTTGAACATGTTCTTTAGGGCCTCGTTTGGTTGGGGATATTAGCCATGATTAACTAAATAATGGGACTCTGGTTGATGTCTGGTATCCCGAATAACTTGCCGGGTCGAATCGCAGATATTACGTTATTCATGCTTTATCTTGCTTTTTTGGCATGTTTTTTTTATTGGATCTTCCAAGGTCCAATAATATAATTGAGTTTCATTAGATGATTTAATTTTATCTTGGCTAATCTTATCTTGGTAACCAAACGAGGCCTAGATGTATTAGGGCTCGTTTGGCTGCCTATGGTAAGATTAGCCAGGATAAAATTAAATATAGCTGTTTATTTATAATGTGAGAAAATGGATAAATTTGTGTATTACAGGATGGTGGAGAGTTTGAATTGGAGCTAGAGAATCCAATTAGGTACGTGCCGTGGTGCAGTGTGGATCCGTGCCCATTGCCTATGGAGAAACAGAGAGAAATCGAAAAGTTCCCTTTGTATTTCAACGGACCTAAGCCGTTTGAAGTTACTGTTAAGGCGGGGGAGATGCTTTATTTGTGAGTTTTGTTTTACTTTAAATAACGTAAATTGTGCTATGAATCTGTCTTCTTCGATGGCCGTTGCATTATATTTCTGGTTTATCTGTTTGTCTCGTTTAATTCTCCATCATTGGAATACACAAATATGATATTTGGTTATTGGAAGTATTTGTATAAGAAGTGGTCTTGAGGAAAAAGACGGAGAAAATACTGTGCTTCAATAAGAAAAATAGAAAAAAAAAGATATCCACGTAAAACAAAACAATAGTACGGGATGATGGGATGTCATTGTTGTCTGGCCTCATATATTCTATTTTCCGTTTCCCATTTTTGAGTTCTATCGTCTCAATATAGTTTACGATGATAATATTTTTGTGGACTTTGATAAGACTAATTTACCGGGGTTGTGAATATTTGTGCAGGCCTAGCATGTGGTTTCATCATGTTAGACAAATCCCAGATGAAAAAACGGGACTCACCATTGCAATAAACTATTGTACGACCATTTTAACCTCTTTCAAACATATATGTATAAAGATTCTGATTTCTAATAAGATTTAAGATGTCAAATGCTTTTCTCCGACAGGGTACGACATGCAGTTTGACATTAAGTACGCGTACTTCAACTTCCTTCAATTTATTCCTTATTCATTATCGGAGGATCCATCATCACGTAAGCTAATCAATGCGGAATCAAATTTCGATAAATGTTCTCGCAACTCAGAAGACGAATCCGACACTACCCTATCTCAAGATTTTAAAAATGTCAGTGACAATTAGAATTGACAAAAATCTTCAACTCGTTTCTTTAAATATATAAAAAGTATTCAACATTTGAGAGATGACATTGCTCGTTCGCATAGGCCCCACTTATACACGAGGACAATGATCTCCATCGAAAAATCCTCTAAAGAATCTCATAGTTTGTTGAGATCACTTTCCTTTATAAAGAGGCCATGGAAGCCTGTGGGCACTCTGCCAGGTAACTTTACAGCAGCAACAGTTTCGAGAGTGGGCGATTTAGCGTCCATTACTAAAAACATGGATTCTTGATTATTCTCATCGTGTATATATGCCACTAAATAACCATCGTCTTCTTCTGCAGATGGATTTTCCGGCTCCCTCGGCACAAAAAATGGCTCGCTACCGCTGCAGCCCGGCCCATACAGGCGACTAGCCACTATGCCGCCACTGGCGGAATCTTCCACAGACAGGTCTATCTTCACCACTCCTACCAACATCATTGGTTGAGCTACTATTCCTGCGTATGCATACCTATATACATGTAATAAGATTAGGAATCTATTTTACTAGTTAATTTTTGTCGATTTCTGATACGAGATTTCTTTATTTCTTGGGGAAGAAGTCTTTCCTAGTTAGATTTTTTTTTCCATCTCGATACAAAGGGAGCAACTTCACTTGATCTTGTCGAACTTTGTCTAAACTGTTACGCTTTAGATTCGCTACCTTACTCAGACAACCTTTTGTATGTTGTTGTCACTTTGTATTTCATAAGTTGTCATGATTTTCCAAATTCTACATGTTTTATTAAGTCGATGTAACATTACCTGCACTTTCTCCCCGAATAAGTTGGATTGATGATCCCCATGTCTAGAACTTCGTCGGACAAGAGATGCCTATGTAGTGTCTTGTCCTTGACATTAATTATAATCTTCTCCATTTTGGGACACGCCAAATCAAGCCCCTCCAAGGCTTGCTCGATCGAAGATGGATTAGACACCACCATCACAACCGTCTCACCGTCGTCTTCTTCCCAAGCATTAGTACAATGAACAACGTTCAATCCACGAGCCTCAATCCACACTAGTTCACTCTCATCCTCTGCGTATCTCGGAATAACCCCAACCCTAGGCACCTTATCCAAATCAACTCTCGCAGGTGACCTTCCTTTCACTACCTCCGTAAAGTCCATAACAATTTGCATATCGGGAATTATGACGTAATTTCTCGTCAGGGCAAAGTCATGACTCAACGACGTGCTCTTCATGGAGAAGATCGGTACATCCGGTTGTTTCTTCCCGTTGGCGTCGATTTTGAAAATTGTCAACAATGGAGGAATCACGTGGTATCTGAAGGAGAAGGCTTCCCCGGTTTGTGGGTCCATCTTTGGATGAGCTGTCATATTCATATTCAAGAACGGCTTGTCGGAGAAGAAGTCGTGGCGGCCGAGGGTGATTACATCGCCACCCGGTGTCACTTTCATTGCGTAGGGAAGATCGGACTCTCCTAGAGCAAACAGACGCCCTCCGATGAGAGCCACGTTTATGTTGGCAAGGCCGAAGCCATTTGCCACAGGATCGAACTGTCGAGTGAGCACTCGTGCAAAGATTATCAAGCCGCGGGATATCGAAGCCGCGAGCCTGTTGAATGAGGAAAAGACACTGGGGAAGATAGGGTGCCCCGTTTTCTGCTCCACCGTGTATTTGTAAGTCTTGATGTAGCGGCTACAAAATATGGGCCCGTCCGGGGACGTGAATGTGATAACATGGAGCATCCCATCTCCATCGAAGAGATGGTGGGGCCCACGGGGGACGAAATGGGGATTTGGGCCGTTGCGTATGTACGCTCCGCCGTGGAGGCAGGGAGGAAGGGATCCCTCCACTACATCGCAGGCGGTGGGGGGCAGCTCGTCCACAGGGGCGAAGTTGCCGGAAAGTACATGTTTCGGATCGATGGAGGGGCGGAGCGGTGGGTCGAGGAAGGTGCATACGAAGTCGTCTATTGACTTGAAAAAAGTTGCAAGTAGTGGTCTCTTTTGTGATGAGGTGATGAAGGGGTTCTTGAGGGTGAGTTTCTTAGTGTGTGGTATTAGTTTCTTTAGTGGAGAAAATGTTGAGAAGAGAGAGTTATGGGGATTGAGAGCAAAAGAGGAAGAAATAGTATCCATGTTTACAGCACTGCTCTTCTTCTAGTTATGTGCCACTGTCTTTTTATACTAACAACTTGTTTGGTTGTCAAGATAAAATTAATAAAAAAAATTTATATAATTTATTGAAAATTCAATTAATTTATTAGACCCGTGACATCAAATAATGTAATATTTGAGAATCAACTTAGCTAGATATTGGAGATACCAAATATCAAGCAAAGTATAATTATTTAATTAATAATGACTAATCTCAGCAACCGGCCTAAAAAGAAAAAAGATAGTTTATAGGTTATAAGCTAAAAATCGAAGTCAGCTCTCTTTTGAGAATTGAATTTCATTAACCGTAACCAATGCCTTTCCTTTTAATTATGACCTGCAAGGCTGCAACTTGTAGCAAAATAAAAGAAATGAATATTCTTATACCAAATTTTGTTTTAGAAAATTAGGCAGCCTCAGTAGCATTAATATTGGTTGGATTCTTTTTTTTTTTGTTTAATCAATAAGCGATTGGATGGTCTAGCGGTTTGAGTAAATGTATTTGTATCAATTGATCGATGTTCGAATTTCCTCGTCAACGTTGTTAGATCGAGTTTGTCACAGCCTAGTGTGGTTCACATATCTCGTATGGTTTGCAATCTATTGTAAAATTTAATTTGAACCTTGAGCTTGTCAAGTTATTATAAAAATTAATTTGAACGTTGAACTTTTCAAGCTATTACAAAACTTAATTTAAACGTCGAGCTTGTCACACATTGTTAGCCTAGTATGGTTGCGGCTATGGCGATTGGAGAAGGAGGCCGTGTGGTTCTATTATAAAACTTAATTTGAACGTCAAGCTTGTCAAGCTATTATAAAACTTAATTTGAAAGTCGAGCTTTTCAAGCTATTACAAAACTTAATTTGAACGTCGAGCTTGTCACACATTGTTAGCCTAGTGTGGTTGCGACTATGTCGATTGGAGAAGAAAGTGTGAGGTCATATCGATTGTAGGAGGCACCAACAATAGCGATTAGGGTTTAATTTGGTGGGCAGCTACGGTTGGTGGGCAATTAGATTTCATATATAGCTCTTGCCAGCGGATGCCATGGAAAGTTGTTGGCTGCTAGGGTTTAGCAGCTCGAAATTGTTAACTGCCAGGTTTTGGCAGCGGCCGGAAATTGTTGGATGTTAGGGTCTAGTAGTGGCTAAGAGTTATTACCCCATAAAGTTCATAATAATACACCCGAATATACTATAGTATACTATAACAGTGTATGCTACACCCAGTGATAATAATCGCGTGTCGCTCCTCGTGACATTATTGTGTAAACCCTAACATAAACACACAAAGACATAAATACCCCGGATTTTTTTTCTATTAAATAAAAAATATTAAATACAAATAATCAATTAAAAAAGAACTTTAACTAAAACTAATTAATAAGTGGTTCCAGTTGTTATGAATTATTAAGTGTGGATGACCACCATTACTACCATCATCAAGCACCATTACTCCTACCACTATTCCCACCATTTACTCACCATTATATGCCCATAACTCCTTGTAACTCATGACCTTTCATGGTCTTACTTGTACTATAAATAATACTCCATTGTATTGAGTTTGACACACATGAAGAAGAAGAGTAATACATATTTTATTCTCTCTATTTAGTCTCTTAGTTCTCTTTATTATGTTGTGTTCTTCTTCATTTTCTTAACACGTTATCAGCACGATTGTTCTAAGTAAATTTTCGAGTGAAGATGATCCAAGGAAGATGACTCCTTAGCCATAGAAGATGAAAGGGAGTTGATTTTAAATATTTTATTCTTGTTTTAAATTGATCAAATATTAATCATCTTAATTTTGTTGTAGGTGAATTTTCGTGCAATTCACGAGTCTGTACTTCGATGTCTGTTTTGGACATGATAATGTTCGAATTTCAGAAAATGCAAGATACGCAACTTGTAGCATTTTCTGTTGGATTTTCAGAACATTTTGAATCATCGAAATCGGATCTCGATCGAGGGAGATATGCTTAAAATACTCAACTCTGCCAGAGCTGTCCCTTGTGCGATTTTGAACATGATGTTCTAAAAATAAAAGGGACGATTATAGGCCTATAGCCTATATTACATACGGGATTAAAATTCTCGATCGAGTATATTTAACTTTAAGTCTAAATGATAAGACTCTTGAACAATTGAGTTAGAGGGTATTCCCCATTTATAGTACTATTCGTTCATGATCAATGTACTATAACAATTTTATTATATATTGAGGCCCAAATCGAGCACGTGCAATCAAGTGACTCGAATATTTGAATGTTATATTATAACGATTTTTATTATATATTGAGGCTTGAGGCCCAAATCGAGCACGTGCAATCAAGTGACTCGAAGATTTGAGTGATATATTAAAAAACAAAAGCCACTTGCTCTCTAATTTATGCGACTTGAAAAGCTCCATCACTCCAAAAAAAAAAAAACTCGAAGTTCATAAATTTTAGGCTCAAATTAAAGCCTAGTTTAAATATGAAAGCTTGAAAGCTTATGTGGAGGAACATCAAATATAAAGGCTTGAGGCCTAGAATAAATTTGAAGACTATAAGTCTCAATTGAATACATTAGACTCAAGGTCTAAGTGATGATAATCAATATTGAATATTTGAGTTAATAAGTATTTTCCACTCAAGATACTATTATTTTATGATTAAGTACCAATTATAGGGCTTAAAACCCCAAATCAAGTACATAAATTCAAGGTATAAAACTCAATCCTTGATATTTGAATGGTATATATGTACTCAAAATGAGTATGAAAGAATTTATGGTCCCGAATTCGTATTATACAGAGATGTTATCTAAAATGTTATGACACTTGAGACAACATGCAGCGGAAATATAAAGATTAAAAGACAGTACTCAGAATTAAAAATGTTCACAAGTAAAGACTTGTGAACTTGCCCTTTACAGGACGGAAAAATATATTAAAATCAGTATTCCAAGAATACAAACAGAAGAGGTGCGAAAACTTCTTCCTTATGAATGAATCTTTTTCAAGATCATTCTTACAATCAAATCTAGATACTAAAAGAAAAATATTAAAAATTCTAGATTTCAAAGAATGTACTCGTGAGGAGTACGTAAAGAACTTATGAATGAATCACTATCTTGATCATTCTTACAACCAAGTCTAGAAACATATATACTATACAATCTAGACTACAAAGAATGTACTTGTGAGAAGTACGTAAAGAATGTACTCATAAGGAGTACGTAAAGATTGTACTCATGAGGAGTACAAACGACCGATTCTAAAACCACTCTAAAACTCTCGTGAATATTCTTCAGCCCTCGGTTTTTATTTCGTAGAATCGATTAATCTTCCTTGAGTATTGAAGTCGGTATTTATAGGCATTCCAAGCATCCACTACTCAGCCCATGATCTGCAAGAAAACCAACCACAAGAGCACTCAAGAACATGGGTTAGTGGGTTAGTGGGTTAGTTTAAGGAGTTAGAATAATATTCACAATTAAACCCACTTAAGCACTACTTAGCCCACTAAGCCATATACTTAACCCACTAAGCCCTATACTTAACCCACTAAGCACTTACTTGTTCCATAACTAAAATTTAGTTAGAAAAATAAGAAAGTTAAAAACACATAAAGAAAAACAACGTGTTTCAAACTCCCCCTTTTTAACTTTCTGATCAAAACTAAATTTTCGCTTAACTCCCCCTGAGTCATTGCTTGAACTCCCCCTGAATATGACAACCAATATAGCAAATAACAAAAATAGCGCAATCCAAAGTCTCCTCAGTATCAGCTGTTGTTCCTCCATCACTAGTACTGGATCCACTACTTTCCTCTGCTCCTTCAGCTTCATTAACTCCTTGCTCTCTGCCTCTGGTTGCTTCAACTTCATGACTACCTTTTTCTCCCCCTTTTTGATCAGAAAGAGCTTTTTGGATCATTTCCACCATGGACTGGTAATCTGAGCTAGAGAGTGAGTAAGCTGTTGTAACACAAGATCTCGAGGAACAGAAACAAGAATGTCAGGGATGTTGTCAACATGAGGAGCAACACCTTCAGTACCAAGATTATTTTGACCTGATTCAGTTGAGAGGAAATTATCTCCATTCCAGGGAAATCTTGGACATGAGGAGCTTTGAGAAAATTTTGAAAAATAATTATCATGCCAAGTGTGAGAAAGCAGAATGGAGTAGATGAGAGAAGAATTTAAAACGATTGCCAAAAATAGTTTTACAAACCTTAGTAAAATCACCATAATTATCTTCATCAATCACAGTAGGAGTTTGTAAATGAGAGTTGATAATTTTGGACGAAAAAAAAATGGAATTTCGCACAAAAACTTTGCCAAAGTTTGGAGTATTTTTTCTTTAAAACAAAGAGGTTTGTAAATAGGCATAAAATTCCTTCACAACAGAAGGATCATAAGGACAGGCAATCTCAACTAGACTAAGGATTTTTCTTTGATCAAGAAAATCAGTAATCCTATGTCTATCAAACTCATCCTTGGAAATTTTCTTCTCCTCAATGAATTGGCAATTCATGATTTGAGGACTCAAATTTGAATCAGATTCAAAATAAAAGGTTGTACTGAAAGCATTGTTTACCTCAAAAAGAGTTGACAGATCCTTCCCATCCAAGTTCAGCTCTTCTTCCTCAGAAGATTCCTCTTCTTCTGAGTCTTCAAGTTCATCTGGGATGCATGCTGGCTCAGGTGATGCAACACGTGGGGCAACATCTTCCTGCATCTGAGAGAATTCCTCAGACGAGTCACTGTTTGACTCTGAAGGTGGCAATTTTTTTGCGAAATGAGGCAAGGAGAACTTCCCAGCTGTCATCACTTTTCTCTGGTTCATCAGCCTGAGGAGGTGATGTATCGACTTGAACAGCTGCTTCTGCAAGAGTTTCCAGAGGGTCTGCATGTGGTGCTGAGAGTGTTTCTTCAGTGGTAGTGAGATCCTGAGCATCAACAGAGGGAATGTCAACATGCTCGGCAGATGACATCCCTGAAAAATCA